AGCACTAAAACATCGGACGAAATCAAATCAATGGCGGAATACCGCCCTAGAGGCCCCCCAGCCAGAGAGAGTCAACGCAGCAGGTATTTTTACGAGGTACTAAGCACAAATATAATATAATAATTCGGCACAAATATGACTGATTTAATGCTTGTTAATAAAGGAGGTTATAATTGTTATAACCTGAGGGTTGTTGACGTTTGTCGACAGCAGCAAGGAGGGCGCTCTCTATTGTTTTCGCTTTGAATTACGGGGATACGCGGTAAGGAGATGGCGCTCTTGGCGGGCGTGTGGTGAACCTTCCAGCAGGTAGATTCGCCCGCCAAATCTAAAATTTGGGAGGTGCTAAGCGAAAACCGTTTAGTTTTAAGACTATTTAAACATCGAATAGTCATTCTACCCATTAAAGTAGATATTTGATGGCTTTTGACCGTGCTTAAGGAGAGATAATAATATAAAATCGTATCTGAAGTATGATGTCAATGAATCTAATGGATCCTAATGAATCGTAGAAAAGCTAAGATTTTTACGGATCGCCGTCCTTGACAGGAGACTTTGTTAATCAATTACATATTTAATTGAAGATGCCTCATAAAATCAACAAGTCGAGTCCGAATATATGAATTCATCACATATCGCGAAGACATTTACAATAAAGTTCAGTGGTTTGAATAAAAATTTCATAACTATTATCCTGCGATCAAAATTCCAATCAAACTTTATGATTTTGTAAAATTGGCAGTATTTTTCTAAATATTCCAGTAAAAGTGTCTATGCCGGCGCGGAGCGCCGAAAAAGCGAGAAAGTGTTGTGCGATTCTCGCACCATGATGGGGGCGAAGCCCCCCCCCACATGCCGGCGCCACATGCTTGCGCCGCGCATAAATTGGCCGGAGGCCAATTTTTTGAATTTTATCTTCCGGCATCAGCTGATCGCGCCGGGCGCCGCTCTGCATGGCTCACTCCTTCCTTCGCGTGTAACAAACAGCTGTTCATTTTAAAAAACTTAAAACGGAGAATGAAATTCTTCGTTACACTCCTCACCCCCTGCATCTCCCCGATGAGCAAAGAACAATTTCTTATCTTATATTTGAAATTCCCTACCTATAAAACCTATTGGCATCTATTTCATACGGCGTATGAAGCTACCCATGGTCATTTTCCCACCATGAAGTCAATTTTGGCCGCCATATTGGATTTTGGGGTCCTCCCTCAGACTAGATGACCGTTCCAATGTGAAATTCGTGTTCTACGACCAAAATTACCTATGAATAGACATCCCACTCGGGGTATTAAGGAATTTCAAAATTTTTGGACCCCCGGCGGCCATTTTGGGGGGCACCCTGAGCCTCCCCGAAGGGGTTATTCCCGACCCAGAAAACCTATCTGCGGATATGTCATACAGTATATACAGCCATCTACGGCCATTTTCCCGCAAAGGGGCCCATTTTGGCCGCCATCTTGGAATTGAGGCCCCACCCCCTTAGGTCGGAGGATTTTTTGAATGTGAAATTCGGATTCTACGACTAAAATTACATATGAATCGACACCTCAGTCGACTCTGTAGGAAAATTTATAATTTTTCAACCCCCCGGCGCCCCTTTTGGGCGCCATCTTGAATGGGGGGGGGGGCGCCGGATTGATTTTTGAACTTGACACCATCGAAAATCTGATTCTACGTATCAAGACGAAGAGATTGATGTATCGAATACACTTTTTTCACAATACTGCAGACAAATCATCTTTTTTGTACATTAGCAACTCCACTAATATGTACAGCTCGTACTCGACAACCAAAGCCTCTATTGTCGAGCGATTCAACCGAACGCTCAAAACGAAGATGTGGAAAGAGTTCAGCGCGCAAGGATCGTACAAGTGGGTAGATCTATTACCGAAACTCATCCGTGAATATAACGGGAGCGTTCATCGCACCATCGGAATGAAACCAATTGATGTTACCGAAAAGGATGTACCGATGATCCTGTAAAAGCTTCGTGGGCCGCTGCTGAGTAAAATCGAAAAGAGACGTCTGGCCAGACGAAAACTGAAAGTCGGTGATCACGTCCGGATCTCGAGACTCAAAGCCATGTTCGAGAAAGGATACACACCGAATTGGAGCACGGAAATTTTCAAGATTGTCAGCGTCAATCCGACCGTTCCGATCACGTACGATCTGAAAGACGCGCACGATACGATCATCAAAGGAAAATTCTACTGCGAAGAACTGCAACCCACCAACTATAAGGATACGTTCCTGGTGGAGAAAATTCTGCGTCGCAAGAAAAACCAGTCCTTTGTCAAATGGTTGGGTCTGGACGCAAGTCACAACAGTTGGATCGGTAGTAAGGATTCCGTATAACTAGTATACAAAACTGTAACAGTATATTTCCACACAAAAAAAAAAAAAAAAAAAAAAAAAAAAAAAAAAAAAAATTAATTAATCAAACTGAACATTGCAATATCCAATCCCAGTTGCTCATCCTAAAACACAAGGTTCCGATACACTAAAAATTGAAATTCTCGAATCAGACCCTACTCTCCAGTCCTTGATACCAGCCCCATACTGGAGGAGACGGTCTATCGATGCCGCCAAAATTTTACAAGTCCGAAATCTCGAAAACAAAAAGTCGTATCAAAATTCGGTCCGCGCAGTTTTCCGATCCTCGATAGTGTAAAAGAATCGCATCGGTCCGCGGCGGATCGGAGGAGGGTAATTTTCCGAAATTTTTTTTAATTTCCCGAATCAGACCCTCTTCTCCAGTCTCCAATACCAGACTCATACTGGAGAAGACGGTCTTTCGAAGCCGAAAATTTTTAAAAATCCGAATTTATTGCACAATCTAACAACATTGTATTGAAAAATTAATTAATTTTTTGAACCATCAGGCAACACTAAAATTCGATGTTGCAAAATTTCACCGATAAATAAATCATTTATTTATGTGCACCGTCTGGCATCGCTGTTGAATAATCGCCATTTTTAAGAATACACTATTGCATAACCCGCATATTGAAGGGGATAACATATAATACTTCTTTTTTACATAGTTGCCATATAGTACAATAATCACTATACAACATTGTGATTTAATTCGTATTTTTCTGCACCTTCATGCAACGCTGTTGGATATTTAACTGTGCTCAAGTCATCATTTTCCTACTACTAATGTAAACGAAGGGGTAACATAACCTCCCTTTTGGACTTGCTTCAATACATTGAGTATAACTAATGTATGTGATGTGATATCGGGGATTTACCAGGTATTATTACCAGGTATGTACATTTGAGGATGTTTAGAACTCATCATCGCAAGAAAATCCGGCAGAAACTGTCTGAAACTACCCAGAGTCAGTGTTTGAAAATTGACTTTCCGTTCCTTTTGGGAAATCCCACGTAAATCGAACCGACCGAATCTCGGTTAGGGCACCAGGCCGAAAATCGCGATATACCTCGAAATGCGACGTAACACTAGAACGGTCTTTACCCCGCTGTGCCGAGCGGATCGCGAAATCCTCCCTTACCAGGCGCCTAGGATTCCAGAGGGACCCTCGTGCGGGCTCTCAGTGTCCAGCAATCGACGTTTCCGCGATCCGTCGATACATCAGTCAATTAATGCAATTCTATTTCACTAGTATAGATAGATTACCGTTGACTTTTTGAATTATTCTCTGAGGAAAAAAACATTATTTGGTAACCCAACTGAAAAAATGGAAATAGGGAAGAGGGTGCCGTCTCTTACAGACCTATATACAGCAGGCCTTATCAAATCTTATTACTATCTTAGTGTAATCATGTACACCATCCTAAATGAGATTCATGAGCTGCAGTGGCGTATTTAAATGAGAAGCGCATTCTGACATCCGCTTTTTTTTAGATCTAACTCGATTTTTTGTTCGTATATTGATGGAAAATTATGTCGGATATCTGAATTTTATCTTGATTATGTGCTAATATATTGGAAGCAAATATGTGCTGGGCTGGGAGTTCCCTTGGGTGACTTTTAAACTATCTTTAGTCTGTGCTTTAGTGATGACGAAGTAATGATCGCCCAAGATCAAGATACGCCGAGTACATAATGCGAAACTTGGTAAAGGAGAATCGGAAGTGGGGGTTAGAAGTCAGCATATCTAAATTTGAGAAACTAACTTTGGGAGGTGATCAGCAAAGTATTGAGTTGGAAGAGGGGCAGCAGATCAAAGGCTGTGCGGACTATAAGTACTTAGGGGTGCGGATGACCCAGGATTGGAAGACGGATCAAGCTATTAAGGAAAGGAACACCCACGGGAGGAAGGCCATAGCGATGTTAAATGGGTTCCTCTGGGATCCGAGGATTCCCAAAAAGAGCAAGATGAAAATTTACAACGTTTTATTCAAAAGTATTCTTACATATGGACTGGAGTTACGGACACAGGTTGTGCTAAGAGCAACGAAGGTGGATTACTGGAGAAGGTCGGCTGGAATTTCTAGAAGAGATCGGGTCCGCACTGATCGAGTGCGTCAGATTATGGGAGTCGAAAAGGAAATCGTATTCGACGTTATGACCAAACAGTCTGTCTGGTATGGTCATGTTAATAACAGGATGACGGAAAAAAAGGCTGCCAAAGAAAATGCTTGATAGGGTTCCCCCTCAGAAGAGACGAAGAGGATGCCCAGTGAAAGGAAGCGAAAAGGCGTTTCAGAGAAAATGAGGGAGCGCTAACTCCTTGAAGGACTATGGGAGAATAGGGGCCTTTGGCGGCTGAGTGTCGTAGAGTGCCAAAGACCGCCATGAAAGTGGCTGATATGTATGGATATCTGAAACTTAGCACCTGCACTCTTGAGGGTCTGCGGAATCTAAGAAAGCGATTACTCAAAAAATGACGAATCTTTGGATTGTTCTAAAAGATGAGCTCTCTTCATCTGCCAGTAAAATAATGGTAACTAGCTAGGTGTTACGAACATTTAAAGAATAATGGTACAAACCTTATCATTTAGCTGTAATTTTGTGTTTCTCTTAACAGGTTTAGAATATGAGTCAGATATTATGAATAAGGCCATCTCATTGCGAAAAAAATTTGGAACATTCCTTGAAAATACATCGGACTTCATTCGCTCTCTTCATAATCAAGGGAATGTGGATGAAGTGAAACTGTTTAAGGTTTGTAAATTTTTCAATATGATTTTAGCTGTAAAATCTCCTCCAGAATTATTCTACGATATTAGGAATAGTTGGCATGTGAAACTCTTTAAAAGTACTAGTATCCACACAAATTGTTACAAAATTTCATCATGAATCTTGAAGGTATTAAGCTCCCTACATGTGTCGAAGGAATGGAGAAGGAAGGTTGCCGGGATGAGCGTTCCACTCCCTGATGGGCAGACTTTTTATACTTTTTACTTTGCCAATGACCAGATCATAAAAGCTTAAGATGAAGAGGATGAAGAAGTCGGTAGAAGCATAAGGGTAATGGGGCTCGGATGTTAGTGTGTCCAAGACAGAGGAGCTGGTTGTGGGTGCATCAACGGCAAAGCATATAGCTTTAGGATGGACGGCCCATCGAAGATTGTGAAGAGTATAAGTATCTCTGTGTTTGGTTAGATAAGAATAGAGAGATGTATCGGGCGATTAAGGACAGGATCATACAGGGGAGGAGAGCCATCGTGATGCTGAACGGGATGCTCTGGGTTCAGAGCATCCCAGAGGCGAACAACCACCGGATTTATGACTCCATCAAGAAAAGTATCGTGCTCTTTGGCAGTGAAGTGTAACCTTTGACGAAGAACGCGAGATATGTTGAGGGCAACTGAAATTGATTTTTGGCGCAGATCTGCTGGCATCTCGAGACGGGGCCGTGCCCGTAACGAAAGAATTCGCCAGGTAATGAAGGTTAAGAGTGATATGGTGCTTGACGCCATGCCTAGGCCATTAATGTGGTATGGACATGTGCCAAGAATGTCGGAGGAGAGATTGTCTCAACAAGTTTTGGATGGAGTACCGCCTGGAAAAAAGGGACGGGGACGTTCCATGAAGGGATAATGGCAAGGCATTAAGGAAGAGATGCTACGTTGTCAGTTGACCTACCGGGTGTCCGTAAAGTAACTGAAAAGTGGGTATAATTTTTGAACAAAAAAAGATAGAAGGTCGCGGTTTGTGGCATTCTTCATCATTCAAAAGGGGAAATTTTTTGATGGGGGGCTTTTCTCGGTGGACCCCCCTGGGGGGGCCACTTCAAAACTTCAAATGGCAACCCCCATTTTTTTAGACATGGTTAAAAAGAACTTTAAAGGACAAGAAAAATGGCGCAAATAAAATTAAAATCGGTTATTTCGTTCAAAAGTTACAGCCGGTCAAAGTTTTAAATTGACCACTTTTCAAAAAATCGCCGATGAGCTCCAAATTATCGGAAAAACAAAAACAAACCAGGAATGAAAAGTTTGAAAAGTGCTTTTTAGGAAGAGAAAAAACAACTGACGTTGTCACAAGTCTGGATGGCACTGTTTCAAAATAAAATTTCGGAAAATTCAACATGACGGCAAATTTGAGGAAACGCAAAAAATGAAAATTCCAGAAACCGTTATCTTTCAACTACCCTCTAGTTTAAGGAGGGGCGGTGGACATTTTTGACATTTCTCTCTCTGAAAATTAAAAATCCAAGAATAATTTTAATTCTCTAACTCCTGGCACTCCAATTTGGCAAGGAGGATAACTGCTACGCTTCACCGTGTCACCGATCAGATAGTGCATCAGATGTTACCGAAAAGATTGGTGTCTCAAATCGTAAGGTTGAGATTGTCCATAAGATAATCTCAATTCAGATAATAATCAAGAGTAGAACGGCGTCTTCGAAATTGGAAGCGTAGCAGATATCCTCCTTGCCAAATTGGAGTGCCAGGAGTTAAAGAATTAAAATTATTCTTGGATTTTTAATTTTCAGAGAGAGAAATTTCAAAACTGTCCACCGCCCCTACCCCACCAGGATAGATCATGTTTTTTTGGCTCGCCAAGTTTGTGGGTAAAAATTGCTAAATTTTACTTTTCTTCTTTTTTCTCGTTAAATTTGAGGAGGAGGACCTTAAAAATTCCTAATGTATCCCAAAGGAGGAGCGCATTTTCACATCGGCTTCATTTTTCGACAGAACATCACAGGATTAAGTAATCCTGTGATGTCGCATACTCCAACGATTGAAGGCGCCCTGCTTGACAACTTTTAAGTCAGCAAATTATTGCTCTTACTTGGCCAAATAAAGGAATAAAAGTTGATACCTTTGATTTCCTTAAACTAGAGGGTATTTGAAAGATAACGTTTTCTGGAATTTTCATTTTTTGCGTTTCCCAAGTAGCATTTTGCAACGAAAAAATTGCAATTTAAATGAAATATAATTTCCAGATGATTTCAACTTTCTTGCAAGAAAATTGCAATTATTTTACAACATCTGACCCCCTCATTGTAAAAAAGTTGCAATTTTTTTTTTGCAAAGAAAATTCAATATTGACGACCTTTAAATTTCAACCCCTAAATTTTCCGGGGAAATTATAATAATTCGAACCCATGCTTACCTAATGTCCTACGACGTTTAGCAGCATAAAATACCGGACGCCCTTGAGTGGGCTTGAACCCGACCCGCGAATGTCATAGCGGAGCACTCTTCCACTGAGCTACAGGGAGCTGATGATGAGCTGGGTTGAAATCACGCTTGTTAAGGCTGTTATCGCATGCATTGCGTCAGTGCGTGGCTCAGCATTCATCATAGATTTGATTAACGCCGTTTTTCTCAGGCTTCTTTCTTTTGCCTATTATTTATGTTTTTTCGTGTTATTTATTTTTTTCATATTTTTTTTGTCTGATTTTTTTTTTCGATATCACGTAATAGGTACTCACACTAAATTTACACCGGTGTAAATTACACCACATACTAACTTGAGAACTTAAAAATATTTTCAAAAAATATTTTTAAAATATTTTCAAAACTTTCTTAAGGAATATTTTTAACATGCATGTTTACAGGCAATATTTTTGAATTATTTTAAAAATATTTTTTGTAAACATTTTCAAAATATTCCTTTAAAATGTTTTAAAAATATTTTGAAAATATCTTAATTACAATATTGCCATGAAAATATTTTGATAAAGGTGACAATATTTTCAAAATATGTTGGGCTATATGGGTTAGGTGAGACATTCAAGTCGAAAAAACTTTAAAACAACTAGAGAATTGGATGCCAGGCACATGGCGTGAATTTGTTACAACATGATTGCACCGAAATTGCAGTCTTTATAGTGCCTTGAAAAAGAAGGTTAGGCAACAAGCATAATCTACATTTCTTGCAAACTTATTGCAATAAAATTGCAACTTTTTAAGCGCCTTCAAATGAACGTATAGGCAACAAGCAAAAATTGCAATCAACTCACAATCCATTGCAATGAAATTGCAATCCATGCTACTTGGGTTCCTCAAATTTGCCGCCATGTTGAATTTTCCGAAATTTTATTTTGAAACAGTGCCATCCAGACTTGTGAAAACGTCATTTGTTTTTTCTCTTCCTAAAAAGCACTTTTCAAACTTTTCATTCCTGGTTTGTTTTTGTTTTTCCGATAATTTGGAGCTCATCGGCGATTTTTTGAAAAGTGGTCAATTTAAAACTTTGACCGGCTGTAACTTTGGAACGAAATAACCGATTTTAATTTTATTTGCGCCATTTTTCTTGTCCTTTAAAGTTCTTTTTAACCATGTCTAAAAAAATGAGGGTTGCCATTTGAATTTTTGAAGTTGCCCCCCCTGGGGCCCCCCCAGGGGGGTCCACCGAGAAAAGCCCCCCATCGAAAACTTTCCCCTTTTGAATGATGAAGAATGCCACAAACCGCGACCTTCTATCTTTTTTTGTTCAAAAATTATACCCACTTTTCAGTTACTTTATGGACACCCGGTATAAACCTTTGAGAAGATAGGTGACTTGTGACGTCTGGATGTCGCAGAGCGCCAGAGTGCGTTGTAAGTGCGACTGTATTGCAAAAACATTGATTCATGTAGAGAGTGCACCCTGTGTCACAAAAGGCGTGACAACTTTTAAAAATTCGCATGACGCACCAACCGATGAGCGTCAGCACCAACTTCGCATCGATGAGTTTATGTGTCCCAATTGCGCACATTACGAATGCGTAGTAGCTACGCCAGTGATTTTTTGTCGGATTCCGAGGCTTTCTTCTCGGTTGGTCATAAGTTCGGAAAAGTAAAACTTTGCAATTCTTTGCAAAATTTTATGCTCCAAAACTTTTGTCCGCTTGAATTTTGTCTGAAAACTAGGGGGCTACGCCCCCTGGCCGCTACGCGGCCCAACCCCCTGAAGGCGCTCCGCGCCATCAATGGGCCGCTTCGCGGCCCTATTTTTACCCTCCTATCAGTGTTAGTTTTATATTTCCCCTAAAAAATTACGATATGAGGTATACTTTAATTTTAAACTTTACTTAAAATTACTTTAAAATTAAAAGGACGCGTTTTGGAATGACTGCTTGATGAAATATTGCAGTAAAACAATGCACAGAGATAGTCACAGGTAATCATTAAGACTTCGCGTGGGTCGGGGATCGAACCCACACCGAGTTCAAAATGGACGCTTTCGACGTCTTAGACGACTCGACCACCGCTCGACGTGTGGACACAGGTGCGAATCTTGTGTAGATAAGTGTAGAGCTGATGCGCAGGCTACCCATCTACTGCGCAACCTCCTCGACCACTGCGCATCCTCCCGCGCATAGCGGTAGCAGTACCGGAGCATTCTGTAAACTCACTCACTTTTATAACGTGATTTTAAAAAAACCTGGGTCCTTTTTCCAAAATCTGATTGCAGCGGGCTCATCTAGGGCCTATTACCTGTCGATTTACGCAAAAATCATGGAAATCGGCCCGGTAGAACGCTCAAACGAACTATGACAAAAAGTATAAATTTACATTGTTTAAATGGGAGAATTCGCAACTTTACCACGTAATATAAAAAAACCTGGGCCATATTTTGAAAATCTGAAAAGAGTTGGCTTGTCTAGAGGCAATTGCCCGTCGATAGCCGCAAAAATCATGAAAATCGGCCCGGTAGAACGCTGGAACTAAGCGTCACCAGTTTCGCAAAATTAGGAGGTCTTGGAGCTTATAGTATAGATGGACTCAAAACGAGTTATTCGCGAACAACCGACCGCGCGAATGAATTCTCCAGTGCTTCTCCGTAGTCTCTCCTCGTGCTTAAGATACACGCCTTCTCCCCCTCCCCGCCCGCCCATCATGGAGTTCCGAGAAACTTCTCACGCTTTATCTGTACAAAACCAAGCCGGATGCACGGTCTACGTGATTCAATGTCTCTGCTTTCATATGTGCAGTAAACTTCCTTCTTCAGCACTGACTCAAAAATTTTTTATTCAATATCAAGTTACTGGTGTCAATAACCAAGATATTATTTAAGTCAGTTTCGGCTTCTTGCACTTGGACTCTGTCAAAAATGGCGGGACTGTCAAGTTGTATCGGTTACTAAATCAACACAGCATAATCTACTTTCTAATTTTGGGAAGTAAAAGATGAAACCGTGGGTCCTTGATTCCTGCATGGATACATGTCTGCCGTTTGCTGTCTAACGATTCTGATCTGGAGGTTTTTAAGTTAACTATATTAAAATACCTTTTAAACTCCATAATTTTGTCCATAGTACTCCAGTATGTTAATTTCTTGTTTTCAGGCCCTGCAAGAAACAGAGGAAAACGTTCGCTCAGCTCTAGCAAATGATTTTAATACAGTCCGTGCAATGTCGCTGTTGACAGATATAGTTTCACTCACAAATAATATGATTCAAGCAGAAAGTTCTGTAAGTCCTGTTATTTAATTTTTACGGGACAACTTTTTTGAAGACTGTGACCGGCTGTAAATGCACTCTTGTGTTAAACTTTTACCTATTTTTCCAACAGTCTGCAAAAACTTGGCGGGGCTCGAAAACCAGTCAAATACCCATGAATTTCTCGTTATCGCAATTTTCGAGATAGGTGACAAATCAGAGGTATCTAACTACAGACCCATAGCCATTTCAAATGATCGGGTAAAAATATATGTGAAAGTTCTTTTTAAATTAACTTATAAGCATGTAAGAAATTACACCTTTTGCTATCAACTTTCATGTATGCCAGGCATATGAAGAATAACAAACTCGTTATTATTCACTGACTTTATCTCATATGAACCCTGTTCTGCCTCCAGAGTTAATGCAATCTACTTTGACGTCAAAAAAGCTTTTCTTCTTCTTTCTCTACTTCTACGAGTGACTAGGGCATAGCGCAAAGCCATATTTGTCACGCCTTCTAGTACCGATCGCATTAAATCATTAATAGGGCTGTGCGACTAATCGCAATTTCGACTATTCGCTTCGTCTGCCTCGCGCACTACTCGCAAATTACGAATAATCGCGCCGCCGTCGCGAATAGTGAATTTTTGAACTGACATTTTCAAATATTCACGAGGAACGAATTTTCAAATATTCGCGCCATCAAAAATAACGAATTTCCAAGTGGCAATCGTAAAACGTTGCAAGGACCGCGCAAAGCTTCCCCTTTCATCCGAGACATCGCTGCCGTGCTAAGGAAGAACGCCGGATGAACCTTCAGACGTTTCCACATTTCCGTCGATAAAAACCGAATTTACTAGGAAAAGTCTTAATATTTTTTCCAAAATTTTCAGACAAGTATGTACGCAATTTGATCTTAAATATCTGAAAATTTCAAGGGAAAATATACTTAAATTGCGTCAAAAATACATGTCATATCAAGGGAAATTGGCAACTCTCGAATGTTCATTCGGCATTCTTCCTTAGCACGGCAGATCGGGAACGGCGGATCTCCTTTGATCTTTATCGACTTTGCCGAGTTTACGAACAGCGAGTGCGATTGCGATTAGCCCGCGTATCTTGGTTGCTGCAAGAGTACTACACATTGAAAGTTAAATTAATAGCAATATCTAGCTGAAGTATTGATAGAAGGGAAGATGTAAATAAGCAAAGAGCCCAAATTAAGGATTGAAAGACACAGAAATGTCTGAAATAGGAAAAAAAAAGTTCATGAACACAATTTCATTCACACCGAAAAAAGTAAAATGCTAAAATGTGTCTGGTGATCCTTCGATACTAGCTTGACTGCCCGCGCAGTTACGTACGGAAATGCATACGTAACTGCAGGGACAGTCAAGCCAGCATCCAGGGATCTTCAAACACATTCTTAACAGTCTCGGCTGGTATCATAGCATTTCATTGTTTTCTGTGCAGGTGTATGAGCAAATGAAAAATTCTTAAAAAAATTAATCACACTTATTTTTCGACTTTTGTAATATTTGCGAATTTTTACACTTGCAAAAGTCATTTCAAATTATTCGTTTCACTATTCGTAGCTGTGATTAATCGACTTAAATTACTCGCTATTCCCGAATAGTTGCTGACATTATTGGCTATTCGCTTTATTCGGAAAATTCACTATTCGCACGGCCCTAATCATAAATATTTTAAAAATTGTAAATCTGTAAATATAAAAGACTCGCCAAATCAATGAAAGCTGCAATAAAATATTCATCCATCCTGTGAAGAAGAGAACCAGTTTTGTGCCCATCTCATAGGCAGTCGTTCAGTCAATCTTTTTCCTAAGGATTGTCTGGTCATCAATTTTCGCTAGTCTTTCGTTTTCCATTTGGTCAACATGCTCCCACCACATCCTTCGTCTGACACTGGTCCCCTTGGCAACATCTTGCACGCCAGAAGCATCCTTGATGGACTTGCTGGTCCAGCGATCCGAAAGTGTCCCTCCTTGGAACTTTCATCTCAACTGTGCGAAATTATTGTCTGGTTCGCTTTGTTTCAACCCTAGTATCTGTGGCAAACGTTCGCAGTAGCCTAACGATGGTCTTGTAGACCCTAACTTTACCCTACCTGGTCATATAGTTACTGCACCACACCATCTTGTTGAGGCAGCCAGCAACTCTTTTGCCGCTTTCAGTGCCTAGTCTTTCACTTCGGACCTCACTTGCGCACTTGTCAGCAATACTCCTACATACTTTAACGCCCATCATATATCCATTTACTTCTAATTTGCAATTACTTCATATATATGCAAGGTGGATGGGAAATTCTTTAGTATATGGGCTGCTGAATTTCGGGATGAAATTTGGAGGGTACTTAGGGCACTAGTAGAGAAAGATAACTGTGAATTTCAAGTGTCGGAAATGAATATTAAGATAGTTACGAGCTTTGAAAGTTTCGAAAATAACACACAAATCGTCGTGGCTCATCGACGAGGACTACACACACACAGCAACTGCCGCTATGTCACCGCCACGCTCGAACCGAAGAAGCGCGATCTCGTGATCTCTCTTATGAAAAGTATACGTACGAAGCACCTACTGACCCCTCCCACCCTAATGGTATTAACTGACCCTACATGCGGGTGAGATAAACAAAGTAAGGAAAAGATAATTAATTATCTGTTGATAATCATCTAACACTTTCTTTTTTTCTTTCGTAGTTTCCGTGTATCAACATGTCGAAGTCACGCCCGATAAATTTATTACGGTTGAGTGAAATATTGAGTTCTGAGGAATCGGGAATTTTTATTAGAACATTCAGTCATCAAACGCTCAAAGAAATGTCCTTTTTGTCGGGGGGATATGAAACTTGATTTTTCAAGATCGCAAATTATAGGCGAATTCAGATGCCAAAAAAGTCACGTATCACGCGGCAATAATATTCGCAGATCCCGTGCTAAAGGCTTATGGTTTGATAACGCGGAATTAGGCGTTCATAAAACGATATTAATTACATATTGTTTCGCATATAAAAATACGAAGACGCGAAACGCGAATGCGAATGCGCACTAGCAGAAGATGACACCGAAGTAAGCGACGCTACAATAGCGGATTGGTATAATTATTGCCGAGAAATTTGTTGCTTAGCCTTAGATCGTGATTACGAAGACGAGGGTCCAATCGGTGGAGACGGCCATTTAGTCGAAATCGACGAAATGAAGTTAGGCCGCCGAAAATACCATAGAGGTCGAATCGTAGATGGACACTGGATTCTCGGATTCATTGATAGGGACACAAAAGATTATCGTCTTGAGATTTGTCCCGATAATAAGAGAGATACACCGACGATGCGAGCTTTGATAAATAAACACGTGAAAAAAGGTAATATAATAATCTTCTAACCTAACCTAACCTAACCTTACCTAACCTAACCTTACCTAACCTAGCCTAACCTTACCTACCATAACCTTACCTAACCTAATCTCACCTAACCTAACCATACCTAACCTAACCTAACCTAACCATACCTAACTTAACCTTAAGTAGCCTTAAGTTCTACTCCCCCCCCCATCGTTGTTATACATTGTATCTTAAATAATGTTCAATATTTCCTGGATCTTTTTCTTTCATTCTTATAAATTCCCTCCTTTTTTTTTATTCAAAGGAACCGAAATTAATACGGACGGATGGGCTGCATACAGTTTTTTGAAAGATGATGGATTCTATCATGAAACGGTTAATCATTCGAAGGAATTTGTATCCGCATCAGGTACCCACACTAACAATGTCGAAAGTGGCTGGAGAGCACTTAGACATCGCTTAGCCCGAGGAGGTGCCAAAAAGGAGCAACTTGCTGATCACCTCTGTGAATACTTGTGGCACAGAAACCAGAAGAAACTAAATCCCGATCCTTTCATCCAACTGTTGAAAAACATCGCAGATGTTTATTGATTTCCCCATTTGTGTAAACTTTTAAAGTATTAAAAAGGAAAACTATTTGTTTTATCTGTAAAAAGTAAATTTTAATTTTTTTCCAGTAAATTTCAATTTTCTCATTCATATTTTTCATATATTATTTGATATTATCGAGTCATATTTTTTTCTCATCTTTTCAATGAACCAACAGTGACCCCCCCCCCCCCCCNAAATAAAATCGTGATTTAATAGTGGCCTCGTAAAATGTTACTTTCGCGCGTCACAAGTAGTTTCTCCAGCCCCCGAGAGGTAGCGCTACTGATCCCGAGACGCAGACGACGATCACCCGTAAGTTATATACGGTTAATTCGCATGTCATTTTTGAAACTTTCAAAGCTCGTAATTTTCTGAATATTCATTTCCGACACTTGAAATTTCACAGTTATCTTTCTCTATTAGTGCCCTAAGTACCCTCCAAATTTCATCCCGAAATTCAGCAGCCCATATACTAAAGAACAGCCGGTGGGGGGAAGTAGTCAAGATTTCCATGCCAGTCTCATGGAGACATCCCGCCTTCCATGCATTTCACCCCAATTTCCATGCCAAATCTCATGCAAGTGGGCTATTTACATGCCAAATCCTAAGTAAATCGTCCATTTACATGCCAACTTTCAAATAAAACTTTTAGCAGGGCGCTAGATACCTCTTGATACCATATCCAGAGTTGTATCCAAATCATCCTCATCTCTGAATTCTTCAGTATTGTTGGGGTCTCCATCGACTTCACCTTATAACCTGGAAAAATAATTCAACCACTGCTCCTTATCCACCTGCTGAACACGCATAAATTCTAAAATCTCCTTTTCCCGGTTTCGAAGTGTGCCCCACACTTAACGCTGAGCTCCATAGAAACTGCGTTCAAAGCCTTTAGTATACCCTTTTCAGTAAATCTCCTTAATTTGCCTCATGTCTCGATTAGCTGCGTTGCGAATTCTTTTATATCTCTCAAGTTCTTTAGGGGTAAGATTAGACTTATACGTTAGGCAAGACCCTCTCTTAGTCATCGCTGTTTCTTTGACCTCGTCGCAAAACCACGGTATTCAGTTATTCTTTCATTTCTTATTCACTCTCCGCCAACCGACGGCATCTTCCGCTGCCTCGAACACCTTCGACTTTATATGCTGCCAAAGCTCCTGGACGGTTGAAGAATCACTAAGAAGACTTTCCAGCTTTCTGCGAAGCCTCGAGCAGTAAAGCTTTTTATAATAGGCAGGTCTATCAGTTTTTCAGCCTACAATTTCTCGACTACCATGGAACGAGTCTGGACTGGATTTAAAATTAGTCGGAGCTCCCGCTAAACCAGACCATGATCTAAACCGGCGTTTGCCGACGGTAAAGTTCGAATATCAAGTAGGTGCCGCGGATGTAACTGCCGATTACCGATAATCTTGTCAGTCATAGATTTCTGTTCTCTACTGTTGGTGTTAGTGATATGGTGTTGTAGTGGATGATCAAAACATGTATCGTTCATTCGTAATTAATATATATAGAGGGAAATTTCACCAATTCTGCACCACTGTCATTTAGAGGAAGCTGATTGAATCTGTTCTCCAGGGGGCTATCAAACCTATGTCCAAGTGAGGTGGCAAAAGAGTATCATTCATTTTAATATTTGACTTGCATAGTCCCGGGTTGAATTTTTCAACAGTAACTAGTGGGTCAGAAAATACATGCCCGACTATTGAATCTGTTATTGACTATCCCACGGTGATTTTAAATTGTTTTTCTTTTATCATACATGAAGTTAATGATCCATATTAAATTTATCGATTTTGACTCAAAAAACGGTTAAGACACATTCCATTAAATCTGTTTTTGAGCGTTTTTTAGCGCATTGAGATTATAGTTTGTCCTGCCCATTCCGATAGCAGTCGTTTTGTTGCGAGACTCTGACAGCATTGCCGTCTTTTCACTCCCAACGTGTTTAAGTTTCGATGTAGTTAAAAACTGATGCAATATAAAAAACTTTTATTTGAAAGATATTTGATTACTTGTAAGAGGTTATTCTATCAAAATGCTTGATCAGAATTCTTTGAAAACATTTATTACTATTGCAAGAACGGATTTCGGAGATGGTATTTCATCATTTTCTTTGCATGTTCCTTTTATGAATAATCTTGTTTTTTTTCCATTTCAGTCGCCATTTGAATCAAAAGGCATTGTTGCTGTAGCGTGCGTAGCTAATTTTGTAAAAAAGACTCTGTCTCTATTAGGAGTCGATTATGAACCAACCCAGGTTTGTTTTCAAATTATTTTAAGTTCGTCGGTCAGAATTTTTTTTTTTTCATTTGGACCATGAATGAAAATTTGCCCTCGTAAGAGAGGGAGGGCGGGGAATTCTCACGCCTTTCAGAATGGAGCTTTTTTTCACAGCCTCTCTTCACCCAACCGATCACAAAAAAGCAATGAAATCGCGGGTGGCAATTTGTTTCCCACTTGCTTTTCCAAATAACTTTCCTGTACCATAGAGGTTTACAGTTCTCCGGACAAAGATGCCTACATAATTCAAAATTGCTTCTAATTTCCAATCCAAACCAAATTTCCATCGATTTCAATTTAAATTTAGCTTCCTTCCTTCTTGCTTAGCAAAAATTCTAGCCAAATCTCTTTAGTTTCTCTCTCCCCGTTCTCCCTCCCTCTCCCTCTCCATCTCTCTCTCTCTCTCTCTCTCACACACACACATTTGTGTCTTTTTCTGCAGGCAGTAAAGATGGTTATTCAAAATCATTGATCTGTTGATGAAACTTAACCATGTTATTCTCATGGGCATACGAAGGGGGGGGGGGTGT